CACCTTGATTTGTAGAAAAAATCTCAAGTTCACAAAAACCTTAATTTTTCACATCAATAGCGGAAGAAAATTTCCCGATACTTTTCTAAGAGGGAGCTACCAGAGCCCGTCAAAGGAGTAAGTTTATATCACTATCCGACTGGGACATCAGCCCCACAAGGTATTCGAATAACCCTTGTCTTCGTATTCTAGGCATTTACGATGATGTTCATTATTTAGTTGATAACTTGGGTTTACGTAGTTTGTTTGAACGAAGAGATTCCACATATGAATTGTTAACCCGAGATTTTTTGAGTTCCCTCATTTACATAGTTAGGCCTGAAACGACAAGTATTGTCGGTACCGTTAAATTTCGTATGTTAAATAATGAGTATGAATTTACTACTTACGAAATTGTGGATTTTTTGGAATTTCCCCACGAGGATGGAATACCTTGTGAGGCTCCACTTAAGTCGGAATGGGGAAATGAGGCCTATGTGTTTTAGGGGCAGATTACAGGTTTGGCAACTAATTCTTTTGAAGGGAATCATGCTTCTGCAATCCATAACCTGATCATCCGCTATTTTCACCAAATGTTGGCAGACACCATCTTTGGTTGAGAAAACACTAACAAAACAAATGCCAAAGAAATGTTTCATTTGTAGGTTGCTCTTACCCGGAGGCAGGTAAATTCTGCTTCCTTTATGATAGCTCATATGAAAGCCAATGCTTCTAAGAGAGGCGCTGTCTTATTTGGAAGCCTAATTACCTCCTTGGCCCATGCAATAGGTCTTGATGCTCAGCTTGAGGGCTTAGAACCTCCACTGTCCCAGACTCTTGATATTGATTATGTCAGACACATGTGGTTTTGTAGAAACTTAAGAGAAGGCGGGCACCACCTTATGATTCACAATGAATTTGTTAAAAGTATCAGTTTGACATGGCCTTCACGTATTGATGTGCGAGTAAGGGCCAATTAGACTTATAATATTGATGCTCCTGAATATATCGGCCCATTACCCAGAGTAGTTCCTGCTAATGCAGATGCAGGTAATGATACAAATGATGAGCTTAACAGACAGGAACGTGTTTCACCTGCTCATCCTCCACCACCATATTTTTCATATGCACACACTGCACCCCATGTTTCTAAACATTTTACAAGTACCAGTTCGGGTCACAGGACCCAGGCTGAAGACATCCCTCAAGATGTGAACTAGGCCATGTTATATAGACATTGGTAGGATATGTTGGCATATATGAGAGAGTCGCATGCTCAGACTCAGATATTCATACAGTTGGTACTACAGGCTCAACTTACACAGATTGCTAGTACCCAACGCCAACAGGCTATGATCGAGCGTCTGACATTCGCTAATCAGCTCACACAAGCCAACCAAGCATCTATATTGGGTCAGATTCATGACTTGAGAGAGTCAAATGATGCACTAACGGAACAGATAGAGCAACTCTACTTAGCTCAGAGACGTGATCTTAGACAAGGGAGTGGCGGCTCCAAGGGCCCGCTGTAGAGCACATCAGGTTCTTTCTTCCTTTTGTCACCTTGGATTGAAACATTGAGGACAATGATTGATTTAAGTGTGGGAGGGGAGCTTTACTCGCTTTCTAGTTAGATTTCCTATTTTTCTTTATTGCCTTCTAGTTTTTCTTTTGCTGATTTATATTTTGTTTGTTTAATTTGTTTTTATTGAGTCATTGCATGTGTTGTCGAGTCTTTTTATGTGTTTTTGCTGTTCATCAGATATTTCCCTTTTCTTGAGCCATAACGAAAATTATTTGCAAAAAAGTAACAATGTTTGTTCTGAATTTGTAGGCTATTATACAAGTTTTGAACAGGTTATAGAGACTTGGGAAATTTCTTGAAATATCATTATCGTTTTAATAATGTAAGTCTCTTAAGTATAAAAATCGATCTGAATAATTATTATGCCTTAGCCTTGAATTCTCTCCCAAAAACAATGTCATTGAGTAGTTTATTTTAGCAGTCAACTTCGGCTTAAGCATGCTCTACGTAAGCAAGTCGATGAACATAAGTGAATGATCTTAATTTTCTTATCTACTAAGATTAATTGAAAATAGGGAATGCACCCTCTAAGTTAGGTGATTCTCATCCGATCACTTAATCCAATGGTTGTGGAGCCTACAAAAATAGAGAAAGATTTGTTGTTGGTTGGTGTAGAGGTTTCTGGTGCTGAACTTGGTAGGGTAGATTACGGTATGATCCTCTGCAACTACAATAGGATAAGCAAAGGGGTTACACCACTTAAAAGTACTAGAACCTCGTGCAAAAATATTTGAATCACTAATCGGTCACCTTACTATGAGTATGTACAGATAACAAGCTTAATGTGATTGCGCCTGAATGAAAAAGGATGTAAAATGTGATGAGTAAGTTAGGATTTAGCATAATGACATGATTCAGATTGGTTTGTATAAGAGAGAGACTTATGCCCATAAAAATGCGGAATGTATTATTACGAAGCTCTTGTTTTTATGATATAGCACCTATTGATATGATTTTGTTCGAAGAAAAGTCTTCGAGCCCGAAGTTGCTATTTGGTATCACTGTTTACTTTTATTTTGCTTGAGTACAAGTAATGGTTCAAGTGTGAGAGAGTTTGATGACACATAATTACACCATTTATTCGACTCGATTTGTGCATGTTTTAGTGTCATTTTGTTTTACATTTCCTCTTTTATGATGGTATTTGAGTTTGTTCCAGGTAGTTTTCCGTTTAGGAGTCATGTGCGAAGAAACGAAGCAAAACGAACGAGAAATATGTAGCATTTTGCACTGAAGGCGACCACCATGGCGTTCACCATACAAGTGGTCATGGGTGGTCCACGTTTCTGGGGTCAAAAGATCAAATCAAGCCCACTTTGAGGCCATGGCGTTCGCCATAGAGTTGTGGTGGTCGCCACACGTGAAAATATGTTGCAGTTGAATTAGGCCTGGCCAGGTCTTCCCACTCCCTCCATCTTCTCTTATTTTTTAGCACACAGAGTCATAGCTTCTACACCACTTTTAGGTTTTATTTTCATTAAAAACAGGCCATTTAGTTTCTCTTTTTGGTATCCAAGATTAGTTACCAACTTAAGTCATATACTGTCAAATTTGTAAGCGATTAACTCTTCACATCGGAGGGTTATTGCACTGTTGATCGAGTCTGTAATCGAGTTTGGAGCAACTTTTAACAAGAGCTTAATCTTGCCATTATTTTACCTTCTGCATTCAAGTTTCAACATTTTCCTTCCTGTACCAGATTAAAGTCTCTTCGGAGTAGGTCTATTTATCGCATTATATTTATTTAATCGCCTCTTTTATTTATTCGCATGCTCTTCTTGTACCTTTCTTTTAATCGCCCATTTAAAGCTTATTTTACTATGTCTATTTTGTTTACTCGCATAATCGCATCAATCGATTTAATTTACGTTATAATCATGTTTAGCTAAACTTATATTTGTTGGAATATGAGGACCGTTGTTTTGACGATACACTAAATAGTTGTTCTTTGAGAAATTCTATCGGGATTGTTTTGGTTTTAACCACAACCTTTCTAAGTTTAATTTTGCCGGTTACTACGAAAGTAGAACCATTTATATCCCGGGTAAGATCGAAAGTCGTCTGGTACCAAAGCTTAAAGTTGTTTAGTTTTTAATTGATAAAAACCGCGAAAGCTATTTGTTAGTTAATTAGGAAAATTGATATTTTGATAAAGTACTTTTTAAACCTATTTTCAGACGAGTTTGTCAATTTAAGGTATGGTTTGCCGATGTGAACACCAGAAACCCTTTAAAGTATTATTTTCTAATCAAAATCACTTTTCAACTGAGTTAAGAGTCTTATTTCTTAAAATGAGTTTTATTACTTTAACGTGAATAATGCCTACCACTGTGATAGTGGACGGTATAATTTAGAGAGTAAAATCCGGTTCTGAATGCGCGAAAGCGACAGTTTCTGTTAAATTAGTTCTTTTCAAAGTAGAAAATATTATCTCATTGAAATTCAATTTACTAACAACGAGAGTACTGACGAAACTGATGAGATCCATATTCCAACATTGCATTCCTTATATTAATTCAAGTATTTTATTTACTTTATTTGTACCACCCCAATCTTTATTTTATTAGTCTTAGATAAATACCATAACGATAGAAAACGATAACTTGACTATTAAGTCATTGTGGGTTCGACACTCTTTATATTACTGTGATATTTTCGTGCAGTTGCGAAATACACCATCGCCACATTAATTTGAGAAGCATGTTAATAAGCAACTATATATATATTTTTTTCATTCTTAAAATTGACTTACAAAATCAAATATAGAATATTTTATAATCAATTGTGCAATTGATTATATTGTTATAAATAGAAGCAATATAATGAGGAAAGACATCAAACCATAAAGTTGTTGTTATAAATAGAAGCAATACAACGAGGAAAGACATCAAACCATAAAGTTGTGACAGATAAGAGCATCTCCCTTGTCGGTCAATGACTATCTTATGTGCTTTCTATGATTAACTTGATAACTATATTGTCTGTCAGAATCAATAGTGGTAGGAGAGTTTTAACTGGCTCCTTTGTTGAAGTGTTCTTGGTGCTTGCTGGTGGTTTTGGTTTCTGCTGACGGTGGTTTTTGGAAGTTGAGATCTATATCTTGTGTTATTACTCATGACTTTCTTCTCCTAATCTCTAGTTTGTTTTTCCTTTATATTGTACTTTACTTTCTTGTTATGATTTTCTCTTTTCGTAAATAATGGTTTGGTTTAGTACTTCTTGTACGGCTGCTTCACTGTTTTTAATACTCTCGGGGATTATTTGCCTTCTCCTTTTTAATGTATAATATTTACCATTAAAACAATTAATAGTGATTTTGGTGAGCTGCGGAAATTGGAACCATTATATGAAGAAATGAGAAAATGGCAAAGAGAAATGGATTGGTTTCTTTCTCCTATCACCTATATGGTTGAGCTAATTCCTGCCAAGCAAGCCAATGCCAATGGTGATATTAGAGGTATATTTCATTTCGGTTTGATAGAAAGAATGAACAACCCTATTGGAAAAATAAGAGACTTTTGTTCTTGGAATAGATAATGACGCCAAAAGCTCATGCAGACACCCAGCTGAATCTTCCAGCGTTCCAACAGATGGACTCTATGCTTAATTGTATGTCATTTTTTTACTCCAATCAAATCTTGAACATTTTTCAAATCTATACATTCTAAGATTAGTCTTTTGTCATGATTTCTACTCAATCTTGCACGATTATTTAGCGCACGATTATTTAGCGGAGGCATTTGATTCAATAGCGAACAAAAGTTTCAGTGATCAGAGGGTGGAAGCCAGACCGAAGGGAGAGTCTGGAATGCACAAATCTATCCATGAAAATGTGTTGCTTGAATTGCCCGTGGCAGCTGTTAATAAAGATGCCCTATGTCAGAAATAGATACAATAGAGTTTTCTTTTTTTATAATCAACGAAGACATCCACCTCAAATTCCTCGTTTTTAAAAACGGTTGCATTTCTTAAGTTCTACAATGCCCAACACGTCGCCAACCAGAACAGTAATATCTTCTTCTGTTTCACCTTCTCTGCTAATGAATTTTTGAAGCTCAAAAGATGCGCAGTCACAGAAATCTCTCAGCCACACAACAATCCCAGCCAATCAAACACTTTCTCCCACACTGCCTTTGAAAAAGGACAGTTCAGCAACAGATGGCCCAACGATTTGAACGCTGATGAGCAGAAAACACACTATCCATCATCAATATTGAAAATCACCCCTTCTAAATAATTGTTCCTTTGTTGCGATTCTGTCCTTTAGACATCTCCAACCAAAAATCAAGATTTTCGACGGGACTTTCGTCAGCCACAGAATTGAAAGTGCTTCGGATTGAGCTGAGTTTTGGACTGCTGTAGCTTCCATCTTAGCCACTGCACTATAGCCTTCACGCACCGCATACTTGCCTTCAGCATTCGCATACCAAATGAAACTGTCTTCACCTGCATAATCAGAACCAAACTGCGACAGAGTTTCAGATAAAATCTTCATTTCCTCCTGAACACTTCCTAGTTCTTAGACTAGAGAGACTGTTTTCAGCCGAGTTTGAACCCATGACCCTAGGATCGCAATGGAACAATCTTACTTTTGAGTAAGATTAATTAACTTAAATTATTAACCATGCAAACACCATGCATTTTGGCCACATTTCAAATTAAAAAACAAGTTGCTTCCTTCGTATGTGATCTCAAATAAATTAAACCTTCACAAGACTCATATGTACAATGATCTTGTGAAATCAAAAAAGACCTTATAATATTATATTGGTTATACCATTTATACTAATTTCGGAGTGAAGAGTTGCATGCGATAAATTAATTGGCCTACCATGGTAATTTCTAATATGATATTGCATTTTTTTCTTGTTGTATCCTCATTTAAACAACTGTTGTAATTCTTAAGGGAATTGAAATACATAACAAAAGAAATGATGATAAATATGGAAGAAGTAACAATTCTCACATTATTGAATTGGAAAGCAATACAATATTACTTACATATAGCAACTATTATAGGTTGCAGGAAAGTGTACATTGAACACAAACACACAAAATAAAATGCTGCTAACTGAATTCAGTGAATAACAAAATAGTAATCTAAGCATTGCCACATAAGTTGCTTTTAGGGAGACCATTCAGTTACTCAACAACAGTGCATCAAGCTGAATTACTAATTATAAGTGCGAACACCTGCAATTCAAATCAATAAAAAGTTGATTAATTCCGTTCTATTTTGTAGTTTAGGGATTTTGAAATGCACACTATGATGATAAAGATAAAATTCTAATTCCATAAAAGTTAAAATGAGTTTCTAATGATTCAATAAACATTGAGTAAATATCAAATTATCTCACCAGCGAGAGAAGTATTTTTGATTATGCTAAGCTCTCTGGTGACTTCCACAATGTTCATTCTTTCTCTCGGTGATTCCATGGAACACAAAAGTCCAATTCTCAAAAGTGAAATTAAGCACTCCTCAACATTTGGAATAAGAATCTCACAATTTTCATCTTGTATTTTTTCTGTTACAACTCTTGATACAAGGCGTGGGTCCAAAATCTTTAAAACTTTATCAGGGAATGAAGTTGCGACATAGTTATGTAGATTTTGGCCATTTTCAAAAACTTCATTTGTGGGTCTTCTACCCGTGAACATTTCCAACATCAAGATTCCAAAGCTATACATGTCACCACATGCAGACACTTCACACCCCATTCCATACTCTAAAACATGTAGCAAAAATTGTTAATATTGTATCACTAATAAATTATTAAGTGTGCACCAAAACATAAGAAAATTATAAAATAAAAAAACAATACAAGATTCAAGAATTTAAATCATACCTGGAGGAGCATAGCCAATAGTCCCTTTTATTCCAATTGTACTGGTTTCCTTATGAGAAGTACCTTCAATGACTGAGACAAGTCTTGCTATGCCAAAATCACTCACATGAGCAACCATGTCATCATCAAGAAGTACATTACTTGGCTTTAGATCACAATGAATGATCAATTGTTCACACTCTTGATGAAGATAATGCAATGCCAAAGCAACATCAGTAATGATGTTTACTCTGTGAGTGAGGTCCAATGTTGCTTGATTCTCTGCATTTAAAATCTCAGGATGCAACCATTCTTCTAAGCTTCCGTTTTTCATGTAATCAAAAACTAGAGCTTTGAATTCTTGACCTTTATAATCTGAACTAGAACAGCATGTTATAATCTTAACTAAATTTCGGTGTCTAATATTTTTGAGTGCATTGCATTCAAGAATAAAACTCTTGTGAGCCCCCTTCTTTTGGAGATTTAGGACCTTTATCGCAACAAAATTGTCTTCTGACACAAGATTTCCTTTGTACACAGAACCAAAACTTCCTGATCCAATCAAGTTTGTAATCGAGAATCCACCGGTTCCTCGATGTAAGTCTCGATATGAAACCTTATCTAGTTGATCAATTGTTGGTGAATCAAAAGATCGTTCTTGATTTCTTTTTCTCATCCAATAGATAGTTAGAAAAATAGAAAATATGAGAAGAAAAGAAAGCACACCAACGACTACCAACATAATTTTATGGTGTCTTGTGTGTTTCATATCCTTGATGGAGCATGGTGGTAGACGCATCTGTAAAATACCTCCACAAAGCTTATTGTTTCCAATCATTGCTACTTGGGATGCATTTCCAAAGACACCGTTTGTTGGTACCTTACCTTCCAGCATGTTAAAAGAAATATTCAAGTGTTTTAAACCTGAGATATTCTGTATAACATCAGGAATTGATCCAGACAATCGATTTTTTGAAAGGTCTAAATATAGAAGACCTTTGAGAAAAGCCAAAGAGGATGGTATTGTTCCATTGAAGGAGTTACCTTGCAAAAGAAGGTATTCTAAACTTACGCACTCACCAATAGATATTGGAATATCCCCTGACAAATGGTTATTAGAGACATCTAGCTTATCAATATTTTTTAACATACCCACTTCTCCTGGTAAGCTACCACTCAAAGAGTTATGTGACAAGTCCAATAAATTTGTTAAAGATAAAAGATTAAAAACCTCTAAAGGAATGGTTCCTTTAAGCTTATTCTGCGAAAGATCAAGATATTGTAGCTTTTGACAGCTTCCTATGCTTGGAGGAATATTTCCTCCAAATATATTATGATGTAGTTCCAAATGATACAATTGACTAAGATTACTTATAAAGTGTGGTATATCTCCTGACAACTTGTTCTCATTCAAAACTAACACTTGCATCTTTTGGAACATCCCGAAAGTAGCTGGAATATTTCCTTCAAATTGGTTACCCCCCATGCTCAAGAGAATTAAGCCAACTAGACATCCTAACTCAGAAGGAATTTGTCCTGATATCATATTATTCCCAAGAAATAGTAGTTTAAGTTCAGTGGATAAATTTCCTATAGTATTTGGTAAAATGCCTCCAAAATTGTTTGTGGCAATAGAAACCCCATACAAAATTCTACAGTTTGTCAAAGATTTTAAAAACTCCAAGTCCTCAGTTGAATTATTACCTAAATTGTTGTCTTCCAAGTTCAGATATTGTAAATATTTTAGGCTTCCTAGACTTGGAACTTGTCCCGCAAAATGATTTCCACTTATATCAAACAACGCAATGGCTGATGCGTTCATCATGGAAGTGATTGGACCTGAAAAATGATTTCCTCCAATTTCAAATTTTTGAAGATTGGGGAGGTTGTTGAAAGTGTTGAGTGGAAGAGTGCCATGCAAGTTATTCTCTGTCATGATAAGGATAGTAAGTGATGAGATGTTGTATAGACAAGAAGGAATGGTTCCGGAGAATTTATTCTCACCCAAAAGTAAGATTGACAGGTTTTTGAGTAGACATATTTCTTGTGGAATATCTCCTTGTATGTTGTTAGAAGCACACGTAAAACGCATTAAACTTGAAAGATTTCCTATGAATGAATCGATTCCTCCTGTTAAATTATTATAATAAACAGCAAAAGATTGAAGCTTTTTCAAAGAACCAAATTCAATTGGTATTTTTCCCGTTAGATTGTTCTTTCCCAAATACAAGTCTGTGAGATTGGAACAATATGTCAAGTTTGTAGGAATTTCACCTGCAAATGAATTATTGGTGAGAAACAGTTGTTGCAAGTGTAGCAACTGACCCAATTCCTGTGGAATTTCTCCAAAGAAGCTGTTGTTTCTGAGGTAGAGAATTTTCAGAAAAGTGAGATTGCCTACATAGGGAGATAAAGATCCATGTAATTCAGATCCATCTAAGGTCAACTCTATAACTCTTTGATGCATGGGGTTGCATGTGATTCCAAACCACTTGCAGAAGTGGATGGAAGAATTCCAAGATTTTAGAGTTCTATATGGATCAACGGATATTGATTCTTTGAATTTAAGCAATGCAAAATGATCTGTTTGGTTTCCTAGTATCGTCACTGCCGCAACTTTGTTTGGACCAAAGCACATTAAACATAAGGTAAACAGACAAAGCAGATGAATGTAGAAAAGTATAGTTGAGAAAAGAGAAAAAGACTTCATTTTGGCTTAGAAAGAAAGAGGTTTATGGTATTAAGTTTTGTTTGTATAAAAGAATAGAGGAAGCATGTATTTAAATAGTGATAGAAGAATGCTGAGTTTAAATTTTTATTAACTTCACCAAAAAATATTTTAAATTCAAAAGTCAAGTCAATTGATTAAAGAGTATGAAGCACGCCATATCACTATATACACTTGAAAAAACTAACTATTGGAATTTTTAATTATTTAATCATATATTAGCATTTCAATAATTTTGTGGCTTAATATATTTATTTAATTATATTAACTATTTTATCAAATAGAATGAGTTAAATAATTATATGATCAAATGATATTAAAAAGGTTATTTAGATTTTATTTAGAAATTATTTCATTAATTAATTAAATAATTGGTTATGGGTTCAAATATGAGTGGATGTCAGGATGGTTCCTTTGAGAATAATGGGAACCCTAATTGGCCATCACACTATATATAGACTATGGTCCCCAGTATACCGTATGCAACCAAATTATTTTTTCTCCCCATGTGAAGAGTATTCAAGGCATTAGGAGGACCGATTGAGAAAGAACCACACAAGCCATCAAGTATTCATTGTTTGTCTCTCAACTCTCAGGATTACCTCCAACAGAAACTTTCTCGATGGATCCAAGTATTCCAAAATTATTTTATCGATCCTTTAATTTTTATACATGCTTGTATGACTATCAAGTTCCCGCATAAATTATATATTATACTTTATGAGCATGTATATCAGATTGACCATTAGGTAATTTAATTCTATCAATTGGTATCAAGTTTTTTCCACTTCGAGTACAACCGGTTTATTATACCAATATATGTATATGATATAAACACAATTATTAAACAATCAGACAAACATACAATTTTGACATTACATTTATGGGAAATGTTTGTGTGAATTTTAAGACATTCCCATTTAATTTATTAAATTTAAATTGTCTAGTGATTTCGGTTTGGTTGGTTGAAATAACAAGTTGCAAAAGTAACATATGTTGTGTAAAGTTGATTAAATCAGAATCACAAAAGATGTAGTGTATAATTTTTCATGCGAACAGTCATGGTCTATCAAAAGGAAGACATAGTTTGACTGGAAATTTGCATATCTGTGATGGTAAAATATAGTAATTATCAAGGTTATCCACGTGGCTAATGATTGATGTCAAAGATATCCATTATCTGACAAGACTCATTACTAATGTTTGATCATTATGTGAGAGTACCGCTTACAGTTAATTCTTACAATCAAAAATTGGAAATTGATGGTGTTTTTTGGTATCTTGTCTAGGTCTTATCTAATTTGCACATAAATAATATTATGCATGTTTATATGGTTATATGACATGCCTACTAATATCATTATATATTTGTTCTCAATAGATCCAGTTGTTGCTGCTATCACTCCCAATTTTGTTGTTCAGATTAACTCTATCCCTATGTTGAGTGGGATGAACTTTAAATCTTGGAAAGAATCTGTGGAGATCTTTCTTGAATGCATAGATTTGGACTTATATTTGAGGAAGGAGCGTCCCACCGCCACTACTGAGAAACCAAATGAAATTAAAATAGAAAAATGGGACCGATCTAATTGAATGTGTCTCATGATGATCAAAAGATCCATACCTAAAATGATTAGGGGCTCGACTGCTAAGAGTGAAAGTTCCAAGAAGTTACTCGAAATTGTGGAGCAATTCTTTACTAAAAATGATAAGGCTGCGAGAATTTTTTTCTCAAAATACGAAAGGTAATTTTCTCACTTTTGTTTGTTGTAAAATTAATTTAACTTTTGTACCTAAGGACACTTTGTGGGTAGATTTTGGTACTACTACTCACATAAGTATGTCCATGCATGATTGTATATGGAGCCGTCCACCGAGTGATGTTGAAAGATTCATCTATGTGGGCGATGGAAATAAAGTTGCAGTATAGGCTATAGGGACTTTTAGATTATTATTAAAGACCGATTTTTATTTGGATTTGATTGAGACTTTTTTTGCACCGTCTATTAGACGAAATTTAATCTTTGTTTCTATTTTGGAAAAATTAGGTTACACTTTTTCATTTGGAAACAATAAATTTAATCTCTCATATGATTCAAATGTTGTTGGTTCCAGTTCTTTGATTGATAATCTTTATATGCTTGATATTGAGCGTCCTTATAACAAAATAATGCAAACATAATGACATGGTACAAAATGAAAGTTAAAGGAGAATTCTGCCATTTTATGGCATAAGCGATTAGAACATATATCTAAACAAAGAATTCAGAGGCTTATGTCGGATGGTATTCTTAGAACCCTTGATTTGTCGGACTTTCAAGTCTGCATTCAATATATCAAGGGTAAGCAGTCAAACAAGAGGAATTTTTATACTGAAAGAGCTAAGGATGTCTTGGAACTAATTCATACTGATATATGTGGTCCTTTCCCTACAGGTTTTTAGAATGGACAACGATATTTTATTACGTTCATAAATGATTACTCAAGGTATGGTTACCTGTATTTGATTCATGAGAAATCTCAATCTTTGGAAGTGTTCAAGTCATTCAAAGCTGAAGTCGAACTTCAACTTGGAAAGAAAATAAAAGTTGTCAAATCTAACAGTGGTGGTGAATACTATGATCGATATGATGGATCAGAGGAACAACATCCAGGGCCCTTCGTGCTTTTTCTCGATGAGTGTGGAATTTTTCCGCAATACACAATGTCGGGATAATCCAACATGAATTGAGTTGCAGAACGACGAAACTGGACTCTTAAGGGCATGGTAAGGAGTATGATTAATCATTTCCTCTTTCAAAGTCATTTTGGGGAGAAGCTTTAAAGACCGCAGTTTATATCCTTAATAGAGTACCTAGTAAAGTAGTAGCTAAAATCCCTTATGAGCTATGGACTAGGAAAAAGCCCAGCGTTATACACCTGCACATTTGGGGATGTCTAGCTGAAGCGAGGCTTTATAAGCCTCATGAAGGTAATTTGGATGCAAATACAATTAGCTATTATTTTATTGGATACTTTGAACGCTCTTACGAATACAAGTTTTACAATCCCATCACTAGAACAATTTTTGAAACGGGAAATGCAAGATTCCTTGAGGATGTAGAGTTTGGAGGGGAAGGAAACATAAGGAGTGTTTCCTTTGATGAAGAAACTATTTCTCACAACGATCAAGTCTTTGTACATATCTTTTTTCTAGAAACAAATTTTGAAATAAACAATGATGTTATTCCTAACATCCCTCAAGAACAAGACAATAATGAGTTTCTTCCTCAAGCACCACCTATAGTTCAAACTCAACAACCTCAAGAGCCACTATTAAGAAGAACCACTAGATAGAAGAAGAGTGAAATTTCAAATGATTTTGTTGTATTTCTTCAGGAACGTTAGGATGGCATTGGTTTGACTGAGGAAGATCCTATCAACTTTAGTCAAGCTATGTGGAGTCCAAACTCTCTTAAGTTGGTTAATTCCATGAAGGATGAGATGAAGTCGATGGCTGACAATGATGTTTGGGATCTCGTTAAATTACCTGAAGAAAAGAAACACATTGGTTGTAAATGGATATTTAAAACCAAAATGGATTCAAAGGGTAACATTGAGAGATATAAAGCTCGTCTTGACACAAAAGGCTTTACTCAAAAGGAAGGAATTAACCATAAAGAGACTTTCTCTCCAATCTATTCGAAGGACTCTCTTAGGATTATGATGGAATTGGTAGCTCAATTTGACTTAGAATTGCATCATATGGATGTAAAGACTGCATTTCTAAATGGAAGCATTGAAGAGACAATATATATGGTGCAACCAGAAAAATTTGTGTCATGAGACCCAAAGTCTATGGTTTGCAAACTAAAGAAATCATTTATGGCCTTAAACAGGCTTCCCGCCAATGGTATTACAAATTTCATCAAGTAATATCCTCATTTGATTTTGAGGATAATCCGATTGATAACTGTGTATACCAAAAGTTCAGCGGGAGTAAATTCGTTTTCTTTGTACTATATGTAGATGTTATCCTTTTGACAAGCAACAATATAGACTTATTACACGAAACTAAGAGATTTCTCACAAATAAATTTGAGATGAAATATCTTGGGGACGCCTCATTTGTCTTAGGAATTCAAATACTTAGAGACCATTCTAGAGGTATTTTAGGATTGTCACAAAGGAGCTATATTAATATAGTTCTGGATAAATTCTCCATGAAAGATAGTAAACTAGGAGACACGCCTGTTGCTAAAGAAGACAAGTTTTGTAACACCCCATTTCTACCCGGAGGAAAATAATAAAATCAGAGTTCAGCATAAATAGGATGCTACATTTTTCAACTTGAAATTAAACTTCATTTAATCGCATATAAAACAGATACATAACACTTAATTCAGATGAACTGATCACAACCTGATTTATTCTTTAAAATCAACAACTTTTCATTGATAAGCAGCGGAATATACGTATTCGACTTCAATTCACTTAATATCTTTTATTCAACTAAAACAACCTCAAGACAACAATTATTTCATGTAATCAACTTAAAAATTCAGCAACTGAAATAGTAAACAATAACTAAACATCAAGTGTTCATCCCCCTGAGTGCTACGTATCATAACGATAACACCGACTCGAACTAACGAGGTAACAACTATCCTTCTTGATTACCTGCACGTTACCAACAGAGGGCAACATTCAAACAGAAGGAGTGAGATATCTAACAATATAATAAAACGTATGATAATTAATATATTAGATCAGATCATATAACATCACCACTTCACAATTCACAAACAACATTAATCACAACAAAACATCAACACGACATAACTACTAAATTCACAGCTTTTAGATAATACTTGTCACAACAAGCCAACAACATAAAGCAACAAAAAATCTATCTTCACCACAACTCAAGATGCAACATCAAATGCGACTCAATTACAATGCAAATGCATGTGGTACCATTGGAGCAGAACTCTCATCTTAAA